GTTATACTGATGTAATATGTAAGCCAGTCTTCGGACAGCCCACCCGTTTGAACTAATAAAGTGCCAGGGGCCTAAGTAGTTACCTTAATATTAAAAAAAAAAAAAAAAAAAAAGAATTTGTTAATGATAATAATAATAATGAATTGATAGAAGAGTTGCATACAAATATTAAAGCACTTCATCTTAGAAATGTAATGGATCTTAATAATTATATTAACTATCTGGAAGAAAATGATACAAATGAAGTATTGGACAATTAAAAAATTGTAGACCTAGTTACTAATATGAAACCTGAGATAAATAATAGTGATAATAAAAAGGAGAATAATAGCATAGAAATGCACCAGATTACTTATTGAAAAGCACTAAATGCTATAGAGTTGCTTGAACAATATCTCTTTCAACAAGACTTTAGTAACACAGTCTGATCAAAACATAATAAAGCTTTATCAAAATTACAGAAAGCAATAAGAAAATTTTGAAATAACATTCTTCAAGCAATTAGAGCTTGAAACTTTTTTTAGATCAGCGAATTCTTAATCTTTATTTTAAAAAAAAATGCATATTTTTCTTCTTTTAACTCTAATAATATTTAACTGACATTTAGGGAGCTATTACTTATTATGTAATTATAGCCCCCCTCCAGAGTCAGTTATTTGACAATTACAAGTTCTAAAGTAATCATAATATAAACTCTATACAATTGGTTATTTTAGAGCTTACAATTGTCAAATGATTGATTACTTTAGAACTTGTAATTATCAAATGACTGACTCTGGAGGAGGGCTATAATTATGTAATAAGTGATAGTTCCCTTAGAACATTCTTGACAAAAAAGACTTTAATTTGTTCAATTGCCAATCTTACTAAGATTAAACTAAAAAGCATTTTGTAAGAAAATATATATATAAGTTATATAATTTAAATGTATAATAGTTAAATAAATAAATATTAGTTAAAAGTTGCTCAAATCAATATTCGAAAAGCTTTTTTTTAATTTACTTGTAATTGATCTTGTAAATCTTTAATATATTAGTAATGAAAAGAAGTATTCAAATTGCAATAAATACTGTACTGTACTTATTAACTTTAATAAATAAACTTAGTACTATGTAGTATATTAAGACATAATAAAATATAGTAAATAGCTATTGGCTAGTTTATATACATGTGATGATTATTTTGCTATAATATTATTGGCTATTCTCTAATTGCAACCTCCCTAAATGCACTCTCAGTGCTAGTTCCAATAACATGCACTTAGAGAGATCTGACTGTACTAACAAAAATATTTTTAAATATTTTTTTTAAACAATATTTAAGTTAAAAACTACAGTGGGTACTATCTAAAGCCAACAAATTTTATATATAGACACCAATTTTTTAGCTGTAGTGTAACATTATTAACCAATAAAAATGCAGAACAGGTTAATATAAATTTAAATTTTATTAATAAATTTTAAAATTTTGTTAATAAATTTTAAAATTTTGTTAATAAATTTAAATTGTTATGTTTTTTATATATAAACGCCAAATTTTTAAATTATATATAACTTTAAATTAATATAAACATCTTGAAATAAAAGATACTAAAACTTTTTTTTATAAATTTGATTGTTTAACCAAAAAGCTATTAAATGTATAAAAAATTTTTTTTAGTTGATTTTATTATAAAACTTTAAAAATTTTATAGTTAAAAGTTCATTTAAACCAATCAAATTAACCGTAATCTAGAATCTACAAAAACTGTAGCTATCTAACAAACTCTTCATTATCAGCGCGTTGGCAAAATTGGGCCTTTTTTATTTAGGTCACCAAATTTATATTTTATATTATAATCAGCCAATAAAATCGGAATATTAACCTAAGCTAAATTATTGTACATACGTCCGAATTAAGGTTGAATCAAGATGGAAAGCTCGAAAAACAAGAAAAGGACACATAGTTGTTTGGATGAAGTTGATTGGACTTCATTTTTTACAAGCTTCGAGAGCGAGCAAGATTCCGGTGATTCAGACGATTCTTATTCCGGTTATTACTCTATAGACGAAGAAAACGAAGAAAAAACTATTTCTGAAACTTCAAATACAACTGAAAATATTTCGGCTTTATTAGCATCTCTGTCAACACCTGCAATTTCTTCAGATCATTCAAACACAAATGATGACTCTTGCTCAGTATGCCCTATATGCTTGCACAGTTTTCAAGATCGAAGCTACCTAGACACTTGTTATCATTCTTTCTGTGTCTCATGTATCCGCACATGGCTATCCATTTCATCTAAATGTCCACTTTGCAAGAGTAAAATTGAATTTATAATTCATGATATTAATGAATCCAACGGTACATTTCAAAAGTTTTACGTGGGCGATTCTAAAGATTACACCGAAATTCATCGACAAAAACTAAAACGTAGAAAATGGATTATGGAAATTTCAAATGAAAAATTTCGTAATATAAAATCTGAATCAAAGAAACAATCTTCGTCGTCTTCTTCTTCTGAAGTAATAATTGATCGTATAAAAATTTATAATAAGAATCTTTTGGCGAAAAATGTACCTCAATGTAAAAAACGTTCTCATGATCTTAATTATGATCGAATACGACCTTTTATTTCACGCGATTTGAAAGCTATTCTTTCAGATGCTCATGATCAAATAATTGAAGAACACATACAATCAATAATAATGACTTATTATAAACAACGGAAATCTAAAGATGAAATTATTAAAAAATTGAAACCATGGTTGGGCGGGTCAACTGAAAAATTTTTAAATGAAACATTTCTGTTCATTGAAAGTTGCCTGAAAATTGATCAGTGGGACAAATTGGTGACGTATAGTGAATTATAGTTTATATTAAGGACAATTTTCTTAATTTGATTCTTTACCATAATAACCTTTTCATCACCTACTCTCCTTAATAATAATTAAATAGAAAAATAACAATTCCCATCTTAATACTGTTTTTTACAGTCAACCAATTATTTCAACGTAAAAACAAAAGAAAAAAATGTAGAAAATATAATAAATACCATGAATACAAAGAATTAATTATACCACAAGGGCGAAACTAGGCTTCGGGCTTTTAAGTTCATACATGAGCCATCTGGACTTAGTCCAATGATTGGATTTTCAGGACAGAATTTAAGTTATAAAAATCTTATATAGTGTATACATCATACTCCTGTACCCAGTGTTGTTGTCATGTTTAGTGTTCTAAGCGATCAAGGCAGCTGTTTAGCTAGCCCGATTACCCGGCTAACTATTTGTTTATTGTGTTACATTTTCTAAACTATAATTCGAATTTATACTCATCCCTATTTGCATAGATAAAAAATCCTAAGTGAGAGACATTATATAAAAAAAAATGTTACATGCTCAAGTAGCTTATTATAATGCACTGATCATTGGTTATTAAATCAACGCAAATAAAATAGAATTAAATAATAGATCAGCTCAGAATTTATGAATTATGCCTATAAGTCCTTATGCATTTAGTCATGCTAATCTTTACAGAACTTTAATATTATTATTTATATAGTATGAAGATTTTGCATAGTTCTCATAGTGAAACCACGAGTAAATAAGCAGAGTCTCGTGATATTTTCGGCTAAGCTAAGCTATTTAATTAGCTTTGGAATACTAGTCACATTGTTATGTTTGGATTTTTTGAATTATATTTTAAAATTCCCAAATCTTGATAATTTATAATCCTAACATGCATAATTCTAAAAAGTTTATAACTATAACAAAATTTTTTTTTTTTTTTTGGTGTTAAAATCATGCTTCTTGTTTTTTATTAAGTATAACATCGGCAAAAAAAAATATACATAAACCTCTATAAGTTTTTACACAAGAATAAACTTATAAAAAACTTATGATTAGTTTAGAGTATTACATAGGAGTAATAATTACAAAAGTTTATACTATCCCTTAAACCATATTCCAAGCAAATTTGCCTGGAATTTTGAAAAGTATTTATAATTTTTTAAATAAAATTAAAAATTATTAATGATATGGGGTATA